GAAATTCATTTAGAAGGTCTTAGAAATTATGCAAATAAAATTTGAGGTTTTTGAGAAGAAGAAGAAAAGTATTTTTAAAGTTAATGTGGAAATCACTTAGCACTCAGACTAGTATAAAGAAATACTATATTCATGGACAAATCTTTAGTAAAAATACTTCATTAAAAAATCTAATTTTTTGTATACAAAAGACTTGTAATGTTTACTAAAAGTCTGCCAAATTTTGTGAAGATACACTAAGTTTATTAAAAAGTTATTGCATGGAAACTATAATGAGAACAAAATGCTTATGAGGTCAGTCAATTCGGCCCAACTTTGTAGCAAGAGTTAAATCCTTTTGTTTGTGACACATTGTTGAGTATTATAAAATCAAGAAATTGACTTAACTTTCCACTAAATGTAACTATTTATGAATTAATCCCTATTACAGTTGCTAAAATAAATGCTGAAGTAAAACATATGTTCAAAGAGTATTCAAGACAATATAAAAAGAATCTTAAAAATAAGCTCAAGAAACACATCTAAGTTATGAAATATTATAATTTCAAAATCATGCCCAGTCTATTCTAACATCACATCTAGATAAGAAAAGAATGTGGACACAATTTCATCATGCAAAGTTTATCCTTATACCTTGGTGATTTATCTTACTATATTACACAATAATTCAAACTTTTTAAATATCCACCTATAATGTAGAAATAACCTACTTGTCATCATTCGTGTGACAATTCAGAGCAGAAACATCCCTACTCAATATATCTTCAAGTCGTCCATAAGGTAGATGTCTTCCTTCTGATGAAGTCACTACAACCAACCCTGCCTGAGCTGGGTTCACCCATTCTGGAACAGTTCTAAATAGTGCAAAAATTCAACAAGATTTATAGTGATACATCTTGAATTTTACTCAATACTTTCAAAAGTGTGATTGAAATAGTATGTTTTAAAGTGATTTAACATTCAAATGTATGATGGATATTAAATCATACTAAACTGTCATTTCTCCTGACATTGTGTTTGAAAGTTATTATTTAAAAAAAAATATCAAGATTTTTGAAAATTGTTAAATGAATAACAAATTATTTTTGAAAATTTATCAGTAACTATGTTTTACCTGTTGGTTAAGAATTTGAAAAATTATTACTGATTAGAAGGTTTACACAACACGTCAAACCTACAATGGCAGTCTGTAGAAATGGAGAAGCACACTTTGGAATGTTCGATCAAGAATCAAAGACCTTGGATTAAAATATGAAATTAAGGCAACACAGAGTGTTTATTAGTATGAAACATAATTAAAATATTCCCAAAAACAAATTATGCCACAACTTAAACTTTAAACCTCCAGTTTCTTTACAACCCACAACTTACCTTCCATTAGTGCCTATCCAGTAGATAATGCCATTTTCATCAAAATCTCTTTGATGAGTAAAGGTCAATTTTGACCCACCTTCTTTAAGTTTTTTGACAAAACTGAATGTTGAGCGTTCATAATCATACCACTGTTTAGCAACCTAGAATATAAACAACAATACTTTAAAATATGTTATCAGATATTTATATTCATTTCATGTTATTAAATAAAGTGTATAATGCCAAATTAATGCAATATGAAAGTTTATGAATTAAAAAGTCATGAAAGTATAGTTACTAAAAACTTTAACATTCTAAACTTTCCCAATAGAAATTTCCAGGGGACATTAAAAGTATTTCAGTTTAAATTTCTATAGTTCACAACAGTTCAAATACCATAAATTCAACATCAGTTACAATATCCTGGTACATGTGCCATGCCACAATACTTCACAAAACAGAATATAATGAGTTCTAATGTTCCCTTTTTAATGCGCTCTTCAAGATTATATGTACTGTATTTCCTATAACATTTTTGAAAAGTTTGAGAGTTGCAAAGACCATGGGCATATCTCAAGGTTCTTCAAGATATACAAAACCTCAACTGTCAAATGTAAATATTCCATATCACTCAGCCTAGCACTAACAAAAGGCCACAGAGAAAGGCTAACTTTGAATGTTTTATACAAATACTTTGTGCATCACTAGATTATATTTACTTTCAAAATACTTCAGTCTTTTCTTTTTATGGATTGAATGTTTAAGTGAAATGATAACAGCATTGACAATGATAAGCTATTAAATGACAATACCTATAGTACAAATACTATTATATCTCATGAATTATATTGTTTTAATGTTAGAAGAACAGTTTAAAACTAAAAGAAAAAAGTTAAACCCCATACATTGATAACCTAATCATAACCTACATTTCTGTAAATACTAATACCTTTATGTAAATTACTAGAAACATCTTTTCATTTCATTGCACTGTCACACAAACAATTTAATCCAACACTAACCTTACTTTAATAGTACATGTTACACCTCAATTTATACATAAAAAATGTATTACTAAAACAGTGGTACTACAAAACTTGTATATTTTAATAGTATACAAGTTTTAAGTTCTTAATTCTACAAGAAAATATATTAAAAAATCATGAATTTCCACTAGTGTG